CATTTATCGAAATTGTTTTACATTTTTAGATTAAATTGAAATTAATGATAATTCAAATTGACCTTTCATTTGGATTATTGAAATTTTTGCAATTAGTCGAAAGAATAAAAATTTGCAAAGAAAAAAGAAAAAAAAAATAAGAAGAAGAAGAAAAAGAAGATGAGATAAAACGTAGGAATGAATCGTGTTATATTTTTTTTTTTTTTTGGATTTTATGGAGTTGAAACAAAGAGAGAAAAAATAATAAAAAAAAAAAAAATGGAACCCTTTCATTGTTATGCATATAATCAAACTATATAGTTGTTAACTCATACACACACCCAGAGACACACAGACACACACAGCCACACACAACACAGAAACACAAACACTCTCTCTCTCTCTCTCATTCTATCTCTTTCTTTTCCTTTTTTTTCCTTTCGAAGCTCTTAATTAACGCAGAACCTGAATATTCATTCCGTAACCCACAGGATTGGACGATGACCATCGGCTTTTCTCATCGCAAATTGAAGCGCTTTTAACAAAGAATCAAAAGCCGGAAGGCATCACCAATCAAAGTGCGCCCAATTGACTCTTTTCTCTTTCGAGTGTTTGCGCGATTTTAGATTTCAATGCTTCGAAACCATTTCTCCCACACCACCGTTCAATTTCATTTCTTCTTAAACCACCAGACAGGATGGTCATGTCAAACATTGTTTAGCAATTTCCTGTATTATCGATATATTCCATGGAAGAATTTTTTTTAATGTTATTTTATGCTCTTTTTTCTTTTTTCTTTTTTGAAATGAAAACTTCTTTACAATTGGGCTGATTTGAAAATCGTCAAACCGATGAAACAAAAATAATTAATTAATTCATAAAATTCAATATATTATTTAATTCTATATATTAATTAATTAATTAATAAATAAAATTCTATATATATATATATAAATAATTCAGTGTCAAAATATGTTTGTCCACTAATAATTTCGAAATTAGTCAACTTTATTTTAATGAAATTTATTTTATTTCACACGTGATTTTTTTTCCAACTTTTAACACATAGCACAATTTTTATCGCGATTTTTGTTTTGTTTTTATTAATTACTTTTTAAATTACTAATTTAAAGATTTTTATTTTAGAGGTTATTTAGGTTCTGTAAAGGTTCTTTCAATAGATGGTACTGTATTACAATTCAATTGTTTCGATATATTCACGTCTCGTAATTTGGTTTTCTGTGAAAGTTTCACTTAAATATTATTATTTAAATGTAATATTATTTAATTATTAGATTTTTTCAAAAGTAAAATATTAACTTTGAAAATTATTCCATGTGTTATATAAAATATTGTTGAACAATTTAACAAACGTCAATTTTTTTTATTTCATTTTTTGTTTAAATTTTGATACAACATAGCCAACTACTTTGAGTGTAATTGATGTTAAATGTATCTTTTTTTTTTTTTTTGGACTTTTAAATATGTTTATTTTGCCACAAGAAATTACAATATATTTTACACAAGTATAAAAATAAACAATAATTCTAAAAACGTCTAATTTATATAATAATTAAATTAGGAATTAAATAGCAATCGTTTATATAATTTAGCTAAGGGTAACTGTAATACTAAATTCCTGTAATACGTTAAGTGTATCGTTAATATTGGTTTGTTGATTTTACACGAAAATCATTGACATACTTTGACATTTGTTTTTTTATTAAATTTTACATATACATATAGGAACACTTTGATACCTAAAATTTAGGTCGTATAAAAGGAGTATACGATTTAAAAGTTGAACAAAAATTGTATTTTTTATTTTTCACAGTAAATCCACAAACTGTTTCTAACTTTATCACAAAGAAAACTCTTTCCACTATTTTCTTTTATTTATTTTTTTTTTTTATTTTAGCAATGCGCATAGTAGATTGAAGTGGTTCGCTTAAACTTGAAGTAAGATTTAATGCCAGTTTCTTTATATTTTTTTCTTCCCCCCGTTCTCTCCACCCCTCGTTTCTTTTTCTTGATACACCTTCCTTATCGTTTTAAATTTCAATCCTCTAAATAGAAACTATTTCAAGTAAATGCACTAGCCCAACATTATATCATTTATATATATTTTTTTTATTTATATATTATCACACAAACATTTATAAGAGTTCAGAATATACCTAGTATTGGGACTTTGGTCGTCTGGGATAAAATTTTCGAACGGGTCAGTAACTTTAAGTATATATATTAAGGATCGATCATAAAACCAGACGAACGAAATTAACGAAGAACTTTGAGAAAAGAATCAATCTAAGCAATTCATGTTTTTATTCGCTTAACAAAATAACTCATCTCACGGTTGTTGTCTAGGCTATTCAAAATCAGGATATACAGGACAATCATCCTACAGGTAGTCCTTTATGGTTACGAATCGTGGTCGCTTACGTTACGGGACGACAAGAAATTGAGGGTTTCGGAGAACAAAGTTGTTCGTAAAATCTTCGGTGCAAAATGCGATGAGGAAACGGTCGAATGGAGAAAACTCCATAACGTTGAAGTACATCGATTGTACAACAAACCGGCCATTATCAACGTCGTAAAATCACGCCGATTAAGATCTGGCTGGTCACGTGGCGCAGTGCATGGGGGAGAATCGAACGACGCATAAAATATTGGTCGGTATACCAAATGGGAAAAGACCACTGGGTAGACCGAGACGTAGATGGAAGGATAATATTAGAAGGGACCTGAAAGAAATAGGATACGAAGACCGCCAATGGAATGATCGCGCTCAGGGACATGAACAATGATGGGATTTTGTATTTGCGGCAATGAACTTCTGAATTCCTAATGTCAATTAATAATAATTATCATTTATATATTACATATTATATTTATTTGTCAATTTTATTTCATTGATTATATCATTTTGACAGATTATCAGTGACCGGGACACACTAACGAGATTTGACATTTGCGTCAATGAATTTTCGAGTTTCCAATATCAATTAATTATAATAATAATATCAATTATGAAATATAATATATATATTTCATAAATCTGTAATTTACAAATTACAAGACCATTATGTCTGAGCTCTAATTAATTTCCTTTTTCTTTTTTCTTCTTCATTATTTTCCCCTTTCATTCTCTCTCTCTCTCTCTCTCTCTCTCTCTCTCTCTTTCTAACGTAACCACAACGTCACGCTGCTGCTGAAAAAAAAGAGAAAGAGAGAGAGAGAGAGAGAAAGAGAAAGATCATGTAACACCATTAGCAGCAGTCTAGCCGTGGAATTCACGACACGACGCATCTACGATGCATTTTCCATACAATTAGACAATGCATTCGGGGTGCTGTGCCTTTTTCAGACGATTCTTCTCAACTACGGAGAATTGAAAAAGAGAGAGAGAGAGAGAGAGAGAGAGAGAGAGAGAGAGAAAAGGAAAAGTCAGTGGATGAAAAGAGGAACAGGGGAAGGAAAAAAAAATGGTCTGGACCCAAAGCTATTGTTTTACCAGATGAATGTCGAGAGATTTATCCGAACGAACTCCAGTTTTCTATCCTATACTATGTTAACATGTCGTGTCGTCTCGTGTCGTGTCGTATCGTGTCGTTTCGTGTCGTGTCGTGTCGTGTCGTGTCGTGTGGAAGAAGAAGAAGAAGAAGACAAAATTCCAAAGATCTTTTTTTTTTTAATACTTTTGTTTTTTTTTTTACATATACGCACGAATTTTTTGTTTCTCTCTCTCTCTCTCTCTCTCTTTCTTTTTATTCTGTTTTTTTTTTCTTTTTTATTAATTTTTCATTCCATTTATTTTTTCACTTTTCTTCATCTTCCATACGTTTTTAGTTACATGAATTTAATTATGACTCCCTCTCTCCCTCTCTCTCTCTCTCTCTCTTTTTTTTCTTTTTTTTTTTTTTGTTCATTTTTTACTTTCTTATTTTCTTACTTCGCTAATTTGTATTTTATTCATTATAATAATTTGTAATTGTATTCATTTATCGAGAATATATTATATTCTTATGTTAATTAATATTAACAATAATTACATGTACGAACGTGTATTCACTTTTTAATTTTTTTTTTTTTTTTATTTCAATAGATTTGAATTATTTTTTATCATTAATATATATATATATATGTTGAATTTTTTTTTTTCTGTTTATTTTTTTACTATATATAAGAAAAATATGTGTGTCATGTTTATTCGTTGAGAAAAGAGAAGAAGAAGAAGAAGATGAAGAAGAAGATGAAGAAGAACGAAGTCTTATCAAAGAATGTACTCTCTCTCTTTCTCTCTTTCTCTTTCTTTCTCTCTCTCTTTCTTACTATTTATCTCTTGCATCGGATGCTATGACGATGATAACAAGGCCAACATGACGATGCAAATTCTCTTTATGCTCGTTGCACGCAGAGTACTTTAAAATGTAGAAAATAAAGTCGAGAGATCGAGCTCGAAGATGATGATGATGATGATGACGACGATGATGATGATGATGATGACGACTATGGAACTCATTATCTTGAGCTCGTTTCTACGTTATCAAGATTTTCTTTTTCTTTTCTGAGTTAAAATGAAATATCTCGCGTATATCGTTAATTGAACTTTAATGTTTATGACTTATTTTCAATGTTTTTTTTTTTTTTTAAATGCTTCTTCTTTCAACCGTTTCAATTTCATCACGTTTATTTGTGTTAGACATTTTTTCATACATTCACATTTCAATTATAAGACAATTTTGCGTGACATCTGAATTATAATGTTATTTAACAAAATTAGTTTAAATGTAACAAAAGTGAAGATAAATTTTCCTAATTAAAAATTTATCAATGAAATTTAGTTGTTCCAAAAATAAATGTGAAATAATAAAATAAATTTGGGCGGGGAGAGGGGGGGGGGAGGACGTTTCTGAAGGATTTAAAATCGGTTGTTTTTTTTTCTTTTTTCTATTATGTTTGTTCAATGCATTTGAATATTAATAGAATTGTGTTGTTTAAAATGAATTTGTCATTTGTAGATTTCTACGCTGGTGTCGCACAGAGAACGGCCGCTATGTTCGGACCGGAGTCTTCGTGCCGTTGCAAGGGTCGGACAGGCGGTAAATTTGGCGGTCGAAAGGTTCGTCACCGTTGGCGAAACCATCGCCGACGACAATCCCGAGATCAAACAGGACATGTACGAGGCATGCAAAGAGGCCAGAGTAGCTGGTAAGTTTAACCAAGATTTAACAAACAAACAAACAAACTAACTAACTAACAAACAAACAAACGAACGTACAAGCAAATAAGCAAAGTATTGAAAAAGAAGACAAGCAAACAAAAATAAAAAGGACAAAACGTTAAAATTATGGAGGATAGAAGGTAAGAAGTATCATCTGTGTATATGAAAAGTGTATTTCGCAATGCATTCAATTAGGGTGGCGCCACAGTAGCTTCAGGGTAAATTTTAAAGGAAGCTACATTCATATCATACCCTTTGTCTACACCAGCGCCATTCTGGAAGATTTTTGAACTGTTATTTTATAGCATACAGTTGGGATACTTTTTCAAATTTTCTCCCATATGAGATGATACTACTTTACCTTTACCCTCCATACCTTTTTTTATTTCTTATTCTCTTTTACAGTTACATAAAGTTAAAGTATAAGTTAATATTAGTTAGTAGACATATACATTTTAATAATTCTAACCTTTTATTTTTACCCCATTAGTCTTTTTTTTTTCTTCTTATCCATTTTATCTTTCCCATGAGTCCTCTTTCTCTCTCTCTCTCTCTCTTTCTTTTTTTTAAATAGCAAACGATCGTTTAAGCTAACGATGACTTAAACTGCATTTTATCGAGCCTCGTGTGTATTTGACGGTTATACTGGTGAGAAGAAAAAAAAAAAGCAAGAAAAAATTCTATATAAAAAAAGGGGAAAGATAAAGCGAAAGAAAGGTAGAAAGAAAGGAATAAAAAAACAGAGAGACAGAGAGAGAGAGAGAGAGAGAGAGAGAGAGAGAGAGAGAAAGATAGAGTGTGAGAGAGATGGGTCCTAGATGATTCTCTTTTTTTTTATTCTCTCTTCTTATTCTTCTTCATTTAGCGAACGTGGGGGGTGAGAGGGTTAGGGAGGTTGGTTCATGTAGAAGGTTAAGTTGAACGTGATCTTAGATGAGGATAAAAGTAAGAGGAGGAAGAAGAAGAAGAAGAAGAAGAAGCTCGTAGATAACGTTTCTTACCTACTTGCGATATATACTTTTGGCAAACGATCGCATTTTTCCTTTCCTTTCCTCTCCTTATACCTTCATCTTCTTTTTCTTTCTTTCTTTCTCTCTCTCTCTCTCTCTCTCTCTCTCTCTCTCTCTCTAACCTAAGACATTTTACTCTTTCTTTTTTTCGTTTTCTTATATTTCTTTCATTTCTTTCTTTCGTTACTTCAAATGGCACCGTTTCAAACGTTTTAAACGTTAAGGGTTAAGTACTGCGGTATAAACTTGAAAAAAAAGAAACGAACGAACAAATGAATAAATTGCATCCGGGTTTTAAAAATAAGAATGAAAAATAAAAAAAGAATATAAAATTCTTATATTATAATTATTGAATTTTATTAATGTATATAGAAATTATATATAAATAATAATAAAAAATAATATATAAATTATAAAATTAATAATATAAAAACCGAGTCTTGGTCCTGTACGTCAAATCAATTGAAAATTAATTTGAATTTAAATGTTGTTAAATTGTTACATTTTTCATAAACTATAAATTTAACACACATAAACACACATACACACACTCACACATATTCTTGAAAGTGTCTATAATAAATGTAATGAAGCATACAATTATTTTACATATTGAAGATATTAATAAAAATATTTTTTCAAGACTAACAACGAAATAAAATAAGAAAATACAACAACAACAACAACAAAAAGAGATGATTTCTCTATTGTTTATCTTTGTCTTTTTTTTTTTTAACTAAAGGAATTTAATTTTGTGTCACAGATTTCTAATTCAAAACGTTCAATTGCTACTCCTTTTATTATTATTACACAAAATCTAATTAAACTCTTAGAATTTGTTGTTGTTGTTGTTGTTGTTGTTCTTTTTCTTATTCGTTCTTCTTCTTTTTTCTACTTGTTCATTTTTGAAGTAAGAAACCTTCAGGTCAAAAGACTTTAAGGATGCACTTATAAGAATATTCTCTCGAACCTATCGAAAGCTTATTGGCTCTGCCTGCCCTTCAACTTTTCTCCGAAGGACTTTTCTTACGAAGTTTGTAATGCGTTTTAAGTAAACTTTAAAAAAAAAAAACAAAAAAAAAAACAGAAAAAAAATGAGCACAAAGAGACTAAAGTTTTCTTCTCTACTTTGACCGATTTTTTTCTATTTCTTTTACTCTAATATATATATGTGTGTGTGTTTGTGTGTGTGTGTCAGTAAAGAAATAAAAAAGACAAGTAAGAAAGAAAAAACACAGAAAGAGAAAAAGAGAGAGAGAGAGAGAGAGAGAGAAACGATATGAAAAGGGATATCAATGTTTCTCGACAAAATGCTTTTTCAACTTAGAGTATGTTGTCAGTAAAAATCCAATGACAAACGAGCTTTACCATCGCCTAAAGCTTCTCCTAGTTTTTTTTTTTTTTAAACTCTTTTCTATATACGTATGTGAGGATAGATACTAGATATATATTTACCGAACTACCTTCAATCACTAACCCGTTTTCTATCTTTCTTTTTTAGTATTTTTCTTCTTTTTCTTTTACAATTCATTCAACAACAACCATTTCTAGTCGTCAAACCATCTCACTTGTGTTACATGCCTTTATTTTCTCGTGTGTTACGTAGATTCCATATTTTTGTAGAAAAAAAAAATACAAAGAAGAAGAAGAAGAATAAAAATAAAAAGAGGAAATAAAATACACAAAAAGTAGACATTTCTTTTATTCATATTTTTGTCCATATTATTCGCACATTATGTTTTGTAATTTTATATAAGGAAATTTGTTGAACAATTATATATTTTAACTATGGAGGGTAAAGGTAAAGGAGTATCATCTCATATGGGAGAAAATTTGAAAAAGTGTCCAGCCATATGCTATAAATAACAGTTCCAAAATCTTCCAGAATGGCACTGGTGTAGACAAAGGGTATGGTATGAATGTAGCAATTGTAAACGAATTGAAGTATGCCGAAGTTAAAAAAATGTAATATTATTGCCGACTAATGTAGTTTAATTATTGAAAATGTCAACTACTTGCGTAGTACAAAATAATGTCAAGTAAATATAACCTTAAAGAATTATTATAAGAAAACGTGATAGACTAGAATGATTTTATTTCGTCAACTGTGAAACAGTACGTTTATTGATTTTTTTATCATTTCATTTGATGAAAAAGTATGTGAATAACAAAAAAAAAACAGTTATGGGGGTAAAAATGTTGTCTTGTGAAATTTGTGTTCCATGTTTATTTCTCAATCCTACTCTAATAATATTTGGGCGCTTCCTTTAAAATTTACCCTGAAGCTACTGTAGCGCCACCCTAATTGAATGCATTTCGACGTACACTTTTCATATACACAGATGATACTCCTTACCCTCTACCCTCCAWAAAAAAAAAAAAAAAAAAAATAGGAAAGGAAAGGAAGGAAGTCATTAATCTCGATGAAAATTCACGTTAGTTATTTTTTTTTCTTATTTCCTTTATTTATCTGCCCTCCTCTGGGAAGAGGAAGATAGAAAGAAAGGAAGGTAGGAAGGAGGACGTGCCTCCTACTTTTTCTTTACCTCTCTCCCCCCCCGTCCCACCCTCTCCCCATTGAAAAAGAGAAATCGAAATCTTGAAACGTGGCAATGCTGAGATTCGAGGATACACCTTTCGAGAGAGATAGAGTGGCTTTTTCTTCTCTACTTATCGAGAAAACGAAAGATAGAGAAGGGGAAAGGGAGGCTGGAGGGGAATTGATGGAGGTTGGGGGGGGGGGAATAAAAGAGAGACAAGAGATGTATCCTTTCTCTATGAACTGAACGTAAACTACACCCACCAAGCTCGCTGGATTTTACTTCGATTTCAAAGGGAGATAAACGGTGCATTGTAAATTAGATTACTCAACCTAAATTCGGATTTCACAAGGAGAGAAATAAAGAGAGAAATTGAGAGAGAAAAAGAGAGAGAGAGAGAGAGAGAGAGAGATAGAGAGAAAAGTGGATCATAGTTCGGAAAATATTAATAAACTTAAACTTTTAAACTATTATAATTAACAAATAAAAATGTATAATGTATTTTTTTTTTTACTAATATATAGAAGACTCGGTGCATTGATGATCGAGATAAATAAATATAATAATAATATAAATAAATATAAATAATAAAAATAAAAATAAAAATAATATAATATAATAAAATAAAAAAATAATATTATATATTTAGCGTTCTTCGAAGAACTATTTATTTTTGAGATTATGCAATTTCGTATTTTTCTAGTTACTAAAGAATAATAATATAAATAAAAATAAATAATAAAAATAATATTAATAAAAATAAAAATAAAAATAAATATAATATAATATAATAAAATAACAAAATAATATTATATATTTAACGATCTTCGAAGAACTATGTATTTTTGAAGTTATGCAATTTTGTATTTTTATAGTTGCCAAAAAAAATCTTAATAAAAGGACAAAATGTTTAACAGGATCAAAACAAATTTATTCTAATTTTTTTATATATATATATATTGAAAAAGAGAGATGAAAAATGGAGAACAATTGAGGTGTTGGGTTAAATCGAAATTAATTGAAATTCTGAAATATACTTAAAAGTCTTCATTCTTTTCATTTCTATCCTAACTCCACCCCCTTTCACACCCCTTTACTATCTCTTTCTCTCTCTCTCTTTCTCTCTTTCTCTCTCTCTTTAAGGTATATCTCTATCATTTTTTCCTTTTCTGTTTTCATCGTTATTATCAATCTCTCTAACATCGATGAGAATTTTATCTCTCACTCGAGATCAAAATCCTCGAGGTTTACAACGAAAAAATAAAACGATGAAGAAGCTTTTTCCACTTTCTTCTTCGTCATTTTATTTTTTTTTTTACATTATTTCTCTCTCTCTCTCGCTTTCTCTTTTATTTTAACAGTTACCCCCCCCCCCTTCCCACCCTATACCACCTTGTATATTAACTATCTTTCTTTCATTTTTCGCGAGTGGCTGTG